AGAGAGAGAGAAAGAAAGAAGAAAAAAGAAAAGGAAAAAGCTCAAAGTTTAACTTAAAGATTTTGCTGGATATTTTCCCATAACCAAATAAATTTAGGTTTGTTTTCAATAGAAGAGTAAATAATAGGAAGACTCTTAACAGGAACAGTCCTGTTAAGTTAAAGTCCTATTAATGCTTTCTCTTAAGGAGAAGTGGGTTAATTGGCTTAGATCTATTTTAGAGGGAAGATAATATTAGGGGATTACTGGAAGTAAAAATCTACTTATCCTAAATACCTTTCAGAAATTCATGACTACTAGCTTTTAGTTTCTTAAATTAGATGTATAAAACAACTCCTCTGTGAGGCATTCCCAGGTATTTCTCAAGTCTTGGCCTGAACTGGGAGACAGAATGACATACTTGTATAAGTTGTATTTCTCTTTTTTTTTTTTTTCTCACCCACCTTCCCTTAGGTTCCCACACCTGTTAGGTGAAGAGGCAGAATTATACTTATATTGCCCTTAATTCTTCAGATTGTACTGTATGTTCTCCAGAGACCATGAATCTAAAGCATGGAGCACAGGATTCCCTGGAACTACTTTTAAAAAATCAAAAGCCTAGAATTCCACTTCTAGCATAATAATATCAGGAGCTGCGCAGACCACTCCCCAGCAAAACTAGAGCTAATTATAAAAGGACACCACTGAAGCTCTTTGGACATGGTTGCAGGGGCATAAGCAAGTGAAGAACCATTTATTTGAGAAAATCTATAAAAGCTCAGAAAAATCCTGAGCTCTTTGAAAAAGGACCCCCTCCTTCCTTCTCATCACCCAGCTCAGCACAGTAGAAATTGCTCTCCAGACTGGTGAGCCAAGAATATAGGATTTTCCCTCTCCCCAGCCGCCAGTCCCAGGGCTCTCTTTCCAGGAAGTGTATAATGTCAGCGTTTCTTTTCCTTCCTCCCATACCTGTTTCTTTTTATCTTATTTTATTTTATTTATTTATTTCTGAAGCCGAGTCTCACTATTTCGCCCTTGGTAGAGTGCCATGGCATCACAGCTCACAGCAACCTCAAACTCTTGGGTTTAAGTGATTCTTTTGCCCCAGTCTTCCAAGTTGCTGGGACTACAGGTGCCTGTCACAACGCCCAGCTATTTTTTGGTTGTTGTTGTAATTGTCATTGTTGTTTAGCAGGCCCAGGCCAGGTTTGAACCTGCCAGCCCCGGTGTATGTGACCAGTGCCCTAAACACGGAGCTACAGGCACTGAGCCCAGACCTGTTTCTAAGACTAAGTTCCAGGCAAGTGTGGCCGCGAGGCGATGACTTCCTTGCAGAAAGATATGCCCTGTACAACAGGAAAAAAGGGAGACGACAGAAACTGCCATTTGTTAGTTTCAAGAGACAAAGCCTTCAAAATAGCCCATATATGGCTAAGCGGCTAAGGTGCCAGTCACGTACACCAGAGCTGGCAGGTTGGAATCCAGCCTGGGCCTGCCAAACAACAATGACGACTGCAACCAAAAAAATAGCCAGGCATTGTGGCAGGTGCCTGTGGTCCCAGCTACTTGGGAGGCTGAGGCAAGAGAATAGCTTAAGCCCAGGAGTTTGAGGTTGCTCTGAGCTATGATGCCACAGCACTCTATCCAGGGGACAGCTTGAGGCGCTGTCTCAAAACAAAACAAAACAAAAAACTCAAAATAGCCAGGATAAATATGTTCAAAGAACTAAAGAAAATCATAATTAAAGAGGTAGTTCTAGGTTGCTGAACTCGTGGGGGTGCTGAGAAGCTGATGTAACTGGAGAGGGAGTGGACACTCCACACTCCTTCCCTCCATGTTCCACTTGGCTGTTCTAGAATTGTATCTTATAATAATGAGGAGGAGGAAGAGGAGGGGAGCAGAAGGGGAAAGACGTGAAGGGGAGAAGAGGAAGGAGGAAAACGTACAGGAAAGTAAGGAGCTGGGGTGGGGGGCAGGGCTCACGCCTGTCATCCTAGCACCCTGGGAGGCTGAAGCGGGTGGATTGCTTGAGCTCACAAATTTGAGACCAGCCTGAGCAAAAGCAAAAATAGAAAAACTGAGGCAAGAGAATCACTTGAGCCCAAGAGTTGGAGGTTGCTGTGAGCTATGATGCCACAGCACTCTACCCAGGCCGACAGCTTGAGACTTTGTCTCAATAAAAAGGAAAATAAGCTTCTTTCCTTTTATCAAGTGGTCTTGGCACCCTCATCAAAAATCAGTTAATGTTTTTTGCTAATGAGCAAAGTCTATTTGAGAGGACTAAGGAGGTTTCTGAAAAGTTACTAAGTGTCCACCAGATAACTCTCCCTCATGCTAATGCTCCATTCTTCATAACATTCCCACTGACATACTGAGTGATTCTAAATATCTAACACCTTCAAAAATGCATCACTAAATCACTTTTTTGGAGAGGACATGCCAAGAACTTCAAGCGTGCACCGCCTCACATCCAGTGTGGTCATGTGATAGGAGAGAGGGCACACCAAGCTTTTGTAGCAATGAAGAGATATCTGTGCTGGGTCTGTTATGAATTTCTTTTGACTACATGTTTGTATATAACTTTACTGAAAAGATGAGTTTAAAGTGTCTATTTACCCTGCGTATATATGTGTGTGTATATTAGTGTATGCACATGTGTGTGTATAAACTTTATACCTTATTTATTTACTGATCTTTAAGTTGATGTTACATGAACACCTGTTATCTTTTTTATATATAATAAATTGTGTCCTTGCTGCTTTTATGAGATATAACCATTTGACTAGTGAAGCAGAATTTATATCCACTGTGGTTGTTTTTCTTTTCTTAAGACAGAGTCACACTTTGATGTCCTTGGTAGAGTACCATGGCATCATATAGCTCACAGCAACCTCTTACTCTTGGGCTCAAGCAATCCTCTTGCCTCAGCCTCCAGAGTAGCTAGGACTATAGGCGTCCGCTAGAGCATTCAGGTATTTTTTTAGAGACTGGTTCTTGCTCTTGCTTAGGCTGGTCTCGAACTCATGAGCTGAAGCAATCTACCTGCCTTGGCCTCCCAGAGTGCTAGGATTATAGGTGTGAGTCACTGTGTCTGGACTTTCATTTTTTAATTGTAAAAAATACACTAATATACACTAATTTTATAATTTTAACCCTTTTTGTATATGCAGTTTAGTGGTTTTAAGTACATTCATATTGTTATACAACTATTCATCTCCAGAATTTTTTCATCATGCCAAAATGAACCTCTGTACCTATTAAACAATAACTTCCTGTTCCCTCCTCCCCCGTAAACCCTTTCTCTATGAAGTTGACTATTTTAACTAGCTCATTTAAGAGGAATCACAATGAAAGGTGTAAAGGATGGGACCCAGAGTCTAGGCCACATAGGAGATGTTTAGGCCAGATTTATTGGAAGGGGAGGATGACCTGCCTGGGCAGGGCAAAGATGGAGTCTCCTAGGGAGAGCTTGAGGCTCTGTCTCAAAAAAATAAAAAAATTAAAAAAAAGAAAGGGGAGGGTGACCCTCCTGGGTGGTGCAAACATGGCGTCTGCTCTTGGGGGGCAGTTAGAGACCACTGTTATATGGGGCTGTAGGGGTGGGCAAATTCCACAGCTTGCCTGGAGTTAGGGTCCTTTGACACGAACTTCTGGGGGATGGGACTAGCCAGATCCTTTGTGTCTTGTCTTAGGAGGAGAGACGCAGGGGAAGAGGAGAAAGGGTTAGTGTGCGGCTGTTAGCCCCCCCAGCACACAATATTTACTCTTTTGTGTCGGGATTATTTCACTTAGCAGGATGTTTTCAAGGTTCCTTCAGGAGGTAGCACATATCAGAATGCTGTTCTCTTTTATGGTTGAGTAATATTCCATCGTATGTATATACCGCATTTTATTTATTCATCAGTTGATGGACATTTGGGTTGTTTGCACCTTTTTGCTATCACGAATATTTATACACTGTTGTACAAATATTTGTTCAAGTTCCTGCTTTTGATTCTTTTAAGTATATTATGCTCAGAAGTGGAATTGCTGAATCCTGCAATAATTGTCCATTTAACGTTTTGAGGAATCACCATACTGTCTTTTACAGCAGCTGTACCAATTTACATGTGATAATTTTTAAGGTAAATTATGAGAACTGGTTCTTTGCTGTAGGAAACTGACAGTTGGATACTCTAATACAGAAAGTGTGTCTCTCGGCTGGTATTGTCTGTTGTTACCCCAGAGCTGTCTGCTGAACACTTTTTTTTGCCATGGTGATTAATTGCCAGCACCCAGAAACTTAGGGGCTGTGTGATGGAGGGGTGGGTCAGAAAGGACGGTGGTAACCAGCACACTGTACCCCATGACTGCATGTACACAGCTATGATTTAATAAAAGAAAGAACGGTAGTAAGGGATGTCACCAAGTAGCAAAAATAATTCCATATCCTGCCACTCTTTTTTTTTGCAGTTTTTGGCCAGGGCTGGGTTTGAACCCACCACCTCCGGCATATGGGGCCAGAGCCCTACTCCTTTGAGCCACAGCACCACCCCATAAAGTTTATTTGTTTGTTTTTCAGTTTCTGGCAGAGGCCGGGTTTGAACCCACCACCTCCAGTATATGGGGCTGGGGTGTCCTACTGCTTTGAGCCACAGGCGCCTCATCCTGCCACTCTTTTGGCACGGCTCATCTGACTTAGTATCAGAGGGGATGAATAATAAGAGTGAGGGGAAGAGAAAGGCAGCAGAGTGGTAAGTTAGACGGCGAGACTGACCAGACTGCTGAGTCTTACCTGCTTGGTGCGAAATTAACAGCAGCAAGGACGTTTTCCTTCCTCCCCTGCTTCAGCTCAGTTGTTTTCAGAGCGTTTTTTTTTCTTTCTAAAGCTTCGATAATCTCTAAATTACACAAATGATTATGACCTTAAACAAATTGACCTTGTAGATGAAATGCAAATGTCCAGTGGTCTTTATCAGAGACGGAGAGGAAGGGAAGAGAGAGAGAGAAGAGATTGACACACTTATTTTATTCTACTTATATCAGATCAGTCTCCTCCGGAAGCCATGGGAAATCACAGTGCTCTGGTATTTGGAGAGAGGGGAGTGCAAAGGCATGTCCGCAATCTTTATTTCCGGTGGTCCTTTCTGCAGGACGACTTTCCGGTCTTCCCCATGGCAAAGCCTTTCTCTGTGATACCAAAACAGAGAGTCTTCTAAAGGGCCGGCGTAGATTCCACACACTTCTGCCAGCTAAGAGAAACAACATTTTCTGTATATCACAACAAACATCATTTGGGGGCGGGGGGTAAAGAAAGAAATTTCCCAATAATTTTTCTAACACCCTGTTGAAAAGGTCTGGTGGGCAGAGCAAAATCCCTCTTCTAAAATCAATGCTCTGTGGTTCAGTGTTACCCGACTATGGGGAAGAACCGGGAGGACTTCAGACTAGAAAGATGGCAAAGAAACACGGAGTCAGATTGTTGACCTTTGGTATCTTTATATAACCTTGTCCAAGATAGTCACTCCCAGAAGACTCAAATTCCTGAAATTTAAGATGGGAATATTGAAGGATTCTTGAGAATTTAATAAAATATACGTGAACGAGAAAGCTTTTGCCAACAATTCGGCATTAAATTGGCATTCTGTATGATGCTCCTGTTAACAACGGTAGCTGTGTACATGACAGCTGTTTGCGGTTGCTGACTTGAGTGTACACCCACTCCTGATTCTTCAGTACTGCTGAATAGCATTCAAATCCTGTTTCCTAGCACTTACCGGTATGGGCACATTTGCTTCATTCACGCTGTCCTTTAATTTTCATGGTAACTCTGTATGGTAGCGTATACTGTACACCAGTCACTAATTATATTTGAAAAGTTCATAGGAACACTATCGACTAAATTGCCAAAGTAAAATAGCTCTGAAAAATGCTTCTCATGCCTGGCTTTTAGCCAGTCCCCAGCTGAGCAAGTTGCCACAACCCCTCCTTACTCACTTTTGGTGCTGTTACTTCCCTCAGTGAATCCTAGCATTCTCTCCTAGATGATCTTTTCAAAATGTGAGAATCTGTTTAATATTCTGGTTCCTCCTTCACGGAGGAGGCACAGGCTGTATCTAGTAGGCCAGCTTGATACTATCTCTGTAGTAGGTTTAATTTTTTTTTTTTTTTTTTTAATTTTGAGACAGTGTTACTCTGTGCTGGAGGTAGAGTGCTGTGGCGTCATAGTTCACAACAACCTCAAACTCTGCGGGGTCAAACAATTCCCTTGCCTCAGCTTTCTGAGTAGTTGGGACTACAGCCACTTGCCACAATGCCTGGCTAGTTTTTCTACTTTTAGTAGAGACAGGGTCTCGCTTTTGGCTCAGGCTGACCTCAAACTCTTGAGTTCAGGCAATCCACCTGACTTGGCCTCCCAGAGTACTGGGATTACAGGTGTGCGCCATCACGACCAACCTGTAGTAGTTTTAATATTAACAGCATGATTATGAGCTTCTTAAAAACTGCAAGTCAGAATGATGTGGAGGTTCTGAAATCTTCTAGTATATCTCTAAGTTTGTAACTGGGTTATTTGAATAGATATTGCTATTTAAATTTTGTTTGAAAGTGCATAAGAAAGTACATCAAAATAGCTTTGTATGGTTATGTATGTCTATTCAGAGACACAGTAAATGGTATAGTTTCTTTTTCTTCTAAATACTTATGGGAAAATACCTTCAGATTCACATTTCTGAATTCCATGTTTTCCTTCCAAGGCATAACATAACGTCTTGGGATCATCCCTTGCTTTAATGAAAACCGTGGCAAATGAATCTCTTCACACCTGAAAATTAAGAAAGCAAGAAGAAAAGGTGTCTTATGAGTTAAATACAATTATTTTAGCATCAACCCTGGAAATGAAGACATGTTTGGACTATCGGAGCTTTGGGACAGAAAGGTGCCACTGAGACCTAACTAATAGACAATCAACTCCCTATGTCCCCTCATATCAAAGATTAAAAGTCAGGGCTGGGGGCAGCACCTGTGGCTCAGTGGGTAGGGCGCCAGCCCCATATACCAGAGGTAGTGGGTTCAAACCCAGCCCCAGCCAAAAAAACAAAACAAAACAAAACAAATTTAAAAAACTGCAAAAGTCAGGGCTGGGTTTCTGCACCTCCAACTTACACACTGCCCTTTATGATTTGCCCATGAAGTCCATTTTAACCTGATTGTA